GGCTCGAGGTCGCGGAGGGACAGGCAGAGGACAGGAGACCCGGCAGAGGAGTGAGTGTGCGCGTGTGTGCGTGTGTGTGTGAGAGAGACATGCATGCTTCGTATCTGTGGGAATTCCTCTAGGCTGCCTGATGAGAAGAGGCAGAGGGGCCCCGGGGCCTCCGGTTGGCCAAGGCCCTGGGACCACTCAGGGCCGCCTGGCAGAGGGTCGGCACGCACTGTTTGGTCATCACCATCTCGTATGCTCAGCAGCACGGCCGGCACAGGACAGATTCGCAGAGTGTTGTGCCACAGTGGTTTTATCACTGCTGCTAAAGAAGGAGTGATGGTTTGCTCCGCCCTGGAGTCACGCTCCAGTTGCCCAGACAGGACGTGTGGACAAGACGGGCGGCACCATCAGAAAGGCTTTACAGTCCCAGTGGCTTAGGGCGGCAGAGCTCACACCCACACGACTGCACTGGCGTTTGTTTGGCGCCCGCTTGGCCCCAGGCCGGGCACATCTACAGACAGGAGGGGGGAAAGCCAGCGTCGTCACTGTTCCAGTCTGGGGGGGCCTTGAGGGACTGTCCCCACAGGGGTCACGTCAAGCTGGATGTGTGGGGGGGCTGGGACAGCGTCTCACCCCGAAGGCCCAAGGGACTCCCGGGAGGAAGTGGCCACACAGAGGTTCAGGAAGAGCTTCTCGCAGGGAGGCTGCCGGTGAGCCAGCCCGGCCAAGAGAAAGCTCTCTGCGGGTGGTGATGGGCTAGGTACAGGAGTGGAGAGATGTGGGGTGTGTCCGGGAGACACGCCAGCACTCAGGACACATCTCAGGAAACAGGAGGCCCAGGTGCTGGAGAGGCTGACGGAGTCGTGAGAGGGAGGGGCTCCAGTGTGAAGCCAGGTGGTGGGAGGTGGCAGACACAGGCAGACTGAGCAGGAAGGAGAGGCAAGCCAAGCAGGGACACGGGGGGAGCAGCCTGAGGCCCTAGGAAGCAGGAGGCTGCAGGGAGGGCGGGAGGCAGCCCCAAAGACCACTAGATGCTGGAGTAAATCGCTGCGCAGCAGGAGGTTAACAGACCGAAGAGACCAGCCCAGAGGAGGCCCAGGGCCGGCGGCTGTATGCTTCCTGATGCCTGCGTAGCTGACCTTCCGCCCTCTGGGCTAAGAGACCCCTGCGTTCCTTCCAGCACCTTCTCCTTTCCTGTCTTAGGTGGTCAGAAGGGGTGTCTGTTATTCACCCCAACCACCAGGGACCCGGTTCTGTGATGGTGCTGACTTGCTCCCTGAGCTGAGCCGACTGACACTCAAGAGAGACCCACAGAGACAGAGACATCACCGGGATGTCCGTGAGGCTCAAGGGAACAGGAAAGTGGTGTTCACCGCAGGCTTCTCTCCACGCTCGGCCGTTCATTCCATACTTGTTAAAAGAAGGGATCTCAGAAGTCACTGTATTTACGTTACCGGTTAGTCCTTTGGAACTGAGCATTTCCTCCCAAAGCTCCTGGGTGCTGATGCTGACCTAAAGCCAAAGAGGACCAAACAGTCTGTTACCAAACGCTGTTACCAAATGCTGTCACCAAGGGCACGGACTGGGGAACAACAAGTGTTTGCTCTAAATTCATCCCCCCACATCTCTCTCTCTCCCCCTCTTTTTATCTCTCTTAATCTCTTCTTCTGTTTCCATTTTTCTTTCTCCCTCTTTTCTCTCTTTCTATTTCTATCTCCCTCTTTCTTTCTCTCTCCCTTACCTCTCTCTCTCCTCTTTATCTCTGTCTCTCTCTTTGTCTCTATCTCTTTCCCTCTTTACATCTCTCTCGTGATCGCGCCTTCTCTCTCTCTGATACTTGCAAACACAGTCCAAGGGGCCCTCTCTCCCAGTCCCCTTCCCTCTTTTCCTCTCTTCCTGCTTCCCTCCCCAGGAAAAACCACGATTCTAAAAATGATGTGTACTGCTCTCAGACATTTTAAAAGTAATTTGACACTGTATTTGTCTAGAAACAATCTGTAAAATTGTTTTTCGTTTGTTTGGTTTTTTGAGTCAGAGTCTCACTCTGTTACCCAGGCTGGAGTGCAGTGGCACACTCACGACCACCACAGCCTCGACCTGCTGGGCTCAGGTGATCTTTCCGCCTTAGCCTTCTGAGTAGCTGGAACTACGGCATGCACTACCTTGCCCGGCTAAATTTTCTTTTTTCTTTTCTTTTTTTTTTTTTTGAGTTGGAGTCTCACTCTGTCACCCAGACTGGAGTGCAGTGGCCGTTCCCGGCCACCGCAGCCTCGACCTGCTGGGCTCTGGCGATCCTTCCGCCTCAGCCTTCCAAGTAGCTGGAACTACAGGCACGCGCTACCATGCCTGGCTAATTTTTAAATTTTTATTGTAGAGATGAGGTCTCGCCAAGTTGCCCAGGCGGGTCTCGAACCCGAGGGCTCAGGCAATCCACTCACCTCAGCCTCCCAAAGCACGGGATTACAGGCTGAGCCACCGAGCCCAGCTAAATTTCTTATTTATTGCAGAGATGAGGTCTCACCATGTTGCCCAGGCTGGTTTCGAACCCCTGGGCTCAGGCAGTCCTCTCTCCCCTGCCTCCTAAAGTTGCTGGGATGACAGGCATGAGCCATCACACCTGGCCATAAAATTGCTTATGGCCTTAAAATATGCATAAACTGTATCAAATGTTTCCTTTTGCAGTTTATGATTTTACTCAGTATCAGAATTGAGTTGACTTTATTGCCAAAACATTCACAACTTTTTCTTATCGGCAAAGAGTTCTGGTTTCATTAAATATGAAATGCGTATTATCCCTTGACATTAATAGCATGTATTTGTATATATACATTTTTTACTTTGTAATAATTTTGTAGTTACAGAAACTGTGCAAGTGCAGTATGAGGAACACCTGTTTAAAATTGAGCAACCTGGTGTCTTACCAACCTGAACATGTTGCCCTATGTGGCCACGATACAATCATCAAAATCAGGACAAAACCACTGATTTGTTACTATTATTGCTATCACCGTGAAATCTTTCAGCACCATTCAAGTTTTGCCAGTTGTCCCAGTAATGTCCTGAAGAGCAAAGGAATTCGCCAGAATCTTGTGCTGGGTTCTCCAAGTCTCCTGAGTCTGGAAGAGTTCCTTAGTCTCCTAGATGCGCGTAACCTTGACCCTTTTGAAACTGACGGGCCAAGCATTTTGTAGAAGGTCCCTCAACTAGGCACACCTGATGTTTCCTCCTGATCAGAGTCAGACTGGGCATCTTTGAACTGGCTGAAGTTGGCTGGGTTGATTGGACATTAGAGAAACTGAGAGCTTCCCCCATTCCCTCCTAGGAGGTGACACACAGTTTCCGTCCGCCCGTTACTGACGGTGTTCACTTTGACTGCTGGATTAAGGTGGTCTGCCAGCGTCCTCCACTGTAGAATCATTCCTTTTCCCCTTGTAATTAGTACGTTTTTGTGGGGAGCTGCTTTTTTTGTTTTGTTTTTGAGTTGGAGGTCTCACTCTGTCACCCAGGCTGGAGGGTAGTGGCACGATCCCAGCTCACTGCAGCCTCGGCGTCCTGGACTCAGGTGATTCTTCTGCCTCAGCCTTCTGAGTAGCTGAGACTACAAGTGCACAACTACACCTGGCTAATTTTTGATGTTTTGTAAAGGCAGAGTCTCGCTATGTTGCCTAAGCTGGTCTCGAACTCCTGGGCTCAGGGAATCCTCCCACCTCAACCTCCCGAAGTGCTGGGATTATAGGGATGAACCACTGCACCCAGCCTAGCTACTTTGAAACTAAATACATTAAAGACCACGAAAACTACCACTTGTTCTCAATAAAGGTCCACTAAGGCCTGTGTCCCTTTAAAAATGCAGGATGATCATCTGCAGCAAGGACAGGAAACATGTGACATCGACAAGTCCTCTACGAAAGGTCCCTCTTTTAAAGGAAGCGCACTCCTTTCCTTTGGCTTCCACAGGAGGAGGAGGAGGAGGAGGAAGAGAGGGAGGAAAAACAAGTCTTCCTGGTGCTGTGCACAGGGTGGGAGAGTTGGGCTGATGGCCTCCTGGGCCCACATCCAACGTCCCAAGGAAAGTGGCAGCTCCAGAAGAGCCCCCGCCCCCACCCAGAGGCTTGGCCCTGTCACTGCTGGTTCTCTGTGGCCCACCCCCGCTCTGGGACCAGGACGCCAGGGCAGCTGAAGAGTCTCGCCCTTCGTGACCTGCCTGGGCAACTTGGCAAGACCTCATCTCTACAATACATCAAAAAATCAGCCGGGCATGGTAGCGTGCACCTGTAGTTCCGTCTACTTGGAAGGCTGAGGCGGAAGGATCACCGGAGCCCAGCAGGTCGAGGCTGCGGTGGCCGGGAGCGGCCGCTGCACTCCAGTCTGGGCGACAGAGTGAGACTCCAACTCAAAAAGAAAAGAAAAAAAGAAAAAAGAGTCTCACCAGTAGGTGCAGAGCAAGGATGAGAACCAGCTGGACTTCACCACGCCTTGCGCTTGGCAGGGAATGGAAAGGGGAGGCGGGGCACCTTCGAGAGACAGGGTCTTGCTCCGTCATCCAGGCCGGAGTGCAGTGGCACAGTCATAGAGTGCTGCAATCCTGAATGCCCAGACGCAAGTGATCCTCCTGCCTCAGCCTCCTGAGTAGCTGGCACTGACTACAAGGGCGTCCCCACAGCAGGCTGGTTTTATTTTTATTTTTGGTTTTCTGCTTGTTTGTTTTTTACAGAGTTGGCGGTCTCACCATGCTGCCAAGCTGGTCTCAAACTCTTGGCCTCTAGCAGTCCTCCTGCCCTGGCCTCCCAAAGCACCGAATTCTGGCATGACCATCGCGCCAGACCGTCCCTTGGTGGTCTGTTGTTTGTCAGTCTAGTTAAATAACCTTGGAACCTCAAGTACCACTGCTGAGAGAGAGGCGTTCCTTTCTTTCTTTTCTTTTTTTTTTTTTGAGTCGGAGTCTCACTCGGTCGCCCAGACTGGAGTGCAGCGGCCGCTCCCGGCCACCGCAGCCTCGGCCTGCTGGGCTCCGGCGATCCTTCCGCCTCAGCCTTCCGAGTAGCTGGAATTACAGGCACGCGCTACCACGCCCGGCTCATTTTGATTTATTGTAGAGATGAGGTCTCGCCAAGTTGCCCAGGCGGGTCTCGAACCCGCGGGC